GGGGGAGTGAGGGCGGGGGCGCCATCTTGGTGCAGGGCAGCGCGCAAGATGGTGAGAGTCTTAAAGGGGCCGCCATAATTCCAGCCTCAGCGCTGGACAGGCGAAGGGGAAGGTGGGGAGCTGAGTGCCTTCACCTGCTGTGGCAGGACAGCAGGTATTTGGAGTCCAGAATTTAATCTTTTTGTCAAAAAAAAAAAATTTACCTCTTTATTAAGGTTTATGACCCAACCATGATCAAGCCTTCTGTCATTACTTCACTTAATGTAATTCTATGTACAGCGACTCAGTCTCGCAGCCTGCGGCGCTGAGGGACGGCAGCCTCTGTCCCTCAGGAAGAACAGGGAGGAAAGCCAGGCCTGCCAAGGACAGCTTCAGGCCCTGATTCAGGGTGGTGTCACTGCTGTGAAAACACAGAAGGGTAAAAAATGATAGTTGCCATGCCCTGACATCACGTTGTTTCAGTTTTAGCCCCTCGGCGTGGTTCAAGCCATGCAGAGCCCTGAGAGGAGCATCCGCTCAGCTGTCTGGACCTGGTGTGCGTCACCTCCAGGCTCACAGACAAAAAGGAGGCTGTGTCTTTCCTTGTCGGGGCCCTACCTCCTCTCAGGTGACATTAAACCCTTTCCTTAGCTCCTAAATGGTTAAAATCAGCTTCACGTGCCTCACTCTCTGGCTGTGCCCTGTGGAGGAAGGAGGGGTGGTACATAGCCCAGGCCTGACCACCCAGTCCTCCTCTTACACACCCATGCCAGCACAAAACTCTGATGCACGCCCAGCTCCCGTCCTTCAAATCACCGAGCAATAACTGAGGCTGCAGACATCATCCACATTTAGGGACCGGGGGCACACGGTCCAGATAGGTGGAGAAAATCTGGTGAACATCTCACTGGATGCCTCAAATGAAAAATAGTGGATACAACTAGTATCAACTTTTAAGGCTAGTTAACAGTAAGAGAATGAAAATAATTTAAATTGCAGCTTTTACCACTTTTTCCTTAAGAACCAGCCTATGTGACATTTCTAAAGTGGAATATTTTGAAAACCCCGTTCCATTTCTCTAACAACAGCTCACCAAACTAAGGCCACTGAAAAACACAGCATTTATTTCCTCGCAGCAGGAATAGTAACACCGGTGTGTTACGAGGATATATCCAACAGTCATTTTGTGGTACCTGAAAAAAGCAGGCTGATTCACTAATGGTTATTTTCATTTGGCTGACTCATTGGAGGACACTGGGCAGCATCATTTTTTTAAAAATTCATAAAGGATGGTTGAAAGGCATTCATTATAACTTCATTAGTATACAAGAGGCAGTTCTGAGTGGTTAAGAGCAGCCAATTTTAACTTGTATACACCAGTGATCACTGCTATAGTAAAATAAGCATATCTGTGCCTTTCTAGGAACATTACAGGTCTCAGCATCCTGCTGTAGCCATAGGCACAGGACTTGTACCAGAGGAGCTATGATCCCACCTACCAGGGGACAGTGTGGCAGACACTCACCAGCCCAGTGCAATAGCCAGATTTAAAAAAAAAACCTTTAACTTGTATACACCAGTGATCACTGCTATAGTAAAATAAGCATATCTGTGCCTTTCTAGGAACATTACAGGTCTCAGGTTTCTGCTTTCTGCTTTGGCCCTGGGCTTGTGCCTTGTGCGCTATGATCCCACCTACCAGGGGACAGTGTGGCAGACACTCACCAGCCCAGTGCAATAGTCAGATTTAAAAAAAAAAAAATCATTAAGAAGAATTGTTCATTTCTAGATGCACTTGTTAAATTAAAATGAGCTGAAGAAAGAGAGGGTCCCAATTTTCCTTGAGTTTTACAGCACAAACTCCAAGGTCAGATAGTGTCCTCTTCCTTGCAGGCCGCGTGCACATTATCCACCAATTTCTGCTGAATTTCAAGAGGACATTAAGGTGAAGTTACATGTTACTGTTGAACCAATATAAAGGCCAAATCTTGCCAAAGAAGGTGGGGACTCATGCTCTTGTCCATCCCTTCTTCTCCCCACTCCCCTCTGCTCTGGTCCCTACCCAGATCTCTATTTCCTTGCAGTGCCTTTAGCTCTTGCACCCACCCTGCCCTGAGCCAGTTCAACTCACGGACCTTACAGAAAACTGTCCACTTTTCTGCCAGGTTGGCTTTTTGCTAATTTAGCTAGTCAAGTGAGCTCTGCTCAGGGGCAAACAACAACCATGGAAGGTGCAAGGCTGGCAGAGGAGAGGGCAAAGCAAGCATAGCGAGGGCAGCAGGAGGGAGAGGAGAAAATGGCATTGAGCTATTAGGTGGCTCAGGATGTGCTGTGTACATTCTTATGGAAGCAAACACAAGTTTTCCTTCCACCTGTTTGTTTCAGTGTTTGAGTTAAACCGAAGTTTAGAAAACAAAGAGTTTGCATCTGCCTGCACTGACATTCCCTCCCGCTTAGTCATGGCAGGGATGCTGTGAGCCCAGCGGCTGGACGTTGCGTTAGGATTTGGGAACCTTTGGCACAGCGGATGTCAGCCGCTTCCTTTCCCTGTGGCTCACTTTTTCCTACTGTGAAAGGGAGACAGTAATTACTCAGGAGAACTACATGACCTGATTCATCCGTGCATGTACAGCCTTGTCACAAAAGGAAGAGGGAAGCCAAGAGAGGCAGATTTGCTCTCTACGCCTCACTTGAGCAATTGTCACCTCTCGAACCACTGATGGGGAGTTCAGCTCCTGCAGCCGTGCACTGAAATCCCCCTCTGAGGCCGATATCTGCCTCCCTGCCCATCCACAGCCCAGGGGCTGGACGATGCTGCAGGATCCTGCTTTAGGTTGTATTGTGGACAGTTGGTCATTATCCTCTGATGAACCTAACGCTGATGCCTTCACCTTCTGTACCTGTGATCCATTCTCTTCTCTAGTAATATTAAGCCCGCAGAGTGAAATTTTTGAGAGTGTCCGACTGACTTAAAAATCCATTTTTCAAAATGACTGAAGGCTTCACTCAAAGGGAAATTCCCCGCCATTGCCATGCCGAAGTAATTATAGTCATACCACAAAAATTATCCTGCTATAATTATGCTGGTATGAGCCTCCATCTGAACAATATGCTGAGATATTTTCCCAGGCAGCCAAAATCCTCTGGCAGCTCTGGCTCCAAGCCTCCAGGAGGAAGGGACCTGCTCCCAAAAGCTCTCTCCTCCCTCACCCTGGTGCTTTAGAGAGCGACCTGAGATCTCCTGTTCCCCGGTACGATTTTCCCCATCAGAGTGTTGTAGCTCGACTCCTGCCTTCGTGCAGCCTCTCCGACTCCTCCCAGGAAGTCCCAGCTGCAGATGAAGCGTTTCAGAGAGAGGGAGAGGGCGGCATGTGTGCAAATGCAGCCTGGGCGGTTGTGCCAGACTTTCGCAGCGTAAGGCAGCGTGGCCCAGCTTGATGTAAGTCTGTTTTACCCCCCCACCATCCCCTCTGGGAGCTGCCTTGCGCCTACGTGTGTGTGCGCTTGCTGGCTGTTGCTGCTGCATTCGTCCGTTCTCCCGCTGTGGCGTTGCAATCCGCGGTGCGACGGGTTCAGGGGGACCCTTGTCCCCAAAGCCTTTTGGGTGCACCTGCGAGCAGCCAGGCTGGCCAGCACTGTGGGTGTGCTTGGGGAGCACCGGGACGGAGGAGACAGCTAATGCCCATGGGCTGGAGGGCAGGAGGTGGTGCGTGAGCGGTCCCTGCAGTGACCTTTCAGCTGTCACCTCCAAAATCCTTAGTGTGCTCCGTCCTGTGCACCCCACCAGGGCAAGAGGTGCCCCGGCTCCTTCACAGGGAGCGTACGTATAGCACAGCCTGAAATGCCCAACCAGGTGAGAGGCTCCCTGAGCCTTTCCCAGGCTTTTTGACTCTCTGGTGGCTGACCCTGCTCCAAAACATTGTCCAGGGCTGGGGAGGTGAGGCAGAGCCCTCTGCCCTAGCCCCGGTCGGCTGCTCCCACTGGGAGCAGCACCCTGACCCCGGTGCTGCCTCTAGCTTTTTGCCGGAGCCTTGCGTACAGCTCTTACACCAGCTCTGTAGTTTTCTGTAATCCAGTGAAGTCCTTTTCACTGCCACACTTTCGTTTTGTCACCTGCAGGGTTAGTCCCCTCATTCCAGTAGTCGTTTGCTTTGCATCCCAAAGCAGTGTCCCCCCACATCTCAGCGCCCATCCCCGACATGCAGCTGTTCCGCACACAGGGACAAGGTGGGTATTTTGCAGTCCCAAGCAATATTATAATGTGACTTCCAGTTTTTCCATAAATAGTGCTGGTTTTTCCCACCTGAGCAAAGAGATGTAAAACCCCACGGGTCTCAGCTGGCAGCCGCTTTGCACTTTTGTTAGAAATAACACAAAATGCAAACAGTGGGGACTCACACCCTGCATGTAAGGGTGGAAAGTGCACCTAGGAGTACCGAGAACGTACCTGTGGGCTGGCCAGCTTCAAACCTGTTTTAATTTATTTTTTGGCAGCTGGGTAAATTAATCCATGGCTGGTCAAAATAAAGGTCCATGCATCCTCCAGCCTCACTGCTTTTATCTCAAGTACCTAACAAAACATTAACTTATTTTAGCTTAAATGCCGCATGTTTAAGCAATGCTGTAGAACAGTTGAGGGGACCTGAGGTGAAGGAACAGGCTGCATCAGGCACAGAAATTAATTTGTTTGTGGCCTTGAAGGAAAGGTAAACACCAAAATCACTTTGGAGATGGAAGCTGACATCTTGTTAATCAGAATAAAACTTGTGACTAAACAGCCTGGAGTTGCAGCAGCTGAGAAGCCGGAGATTCTCACAAATAGCAGCACTCTTGCTTTGATTTTTTTTTTTTTTGGTAACCTTAAGAACATGAAGGAAGAGGAAGAGATGGGTTTGTGCAGAGTAGGTTTGCCCAGCGTACATCCCTAAGGCCCCTTGTTTCACTTGCCAGCCTCAAGAGGCAGGGCGTCCCAACAGCACTGCCAAGGCACAGCCCCATCAGCGAGGAAGGTGGAGGTGCTGCAGGGGAGGAAGGGCAGAGGCAAGGGATACCTGGGATCAATGAAACTGGATGGGAAGCTGATGTTGAATACCGAATTCCCAGAGGATGCCCTCTCACTGGTGTCCGTACCACTCCCCCCAGTGCAGAGGAAAGTGGGGGGAGCCTGGAATTGGGGAGAGAGGAGGCAGAAGCCATGGTTGCCCTTGTGATCCTGACTTGGTGTGTGTCATGGGCACAAAGTACAATCCCAGCGCTGTTTGACATTGCAGTGACAACACAAAGCGGCTCATTCCCCCTTTTCCTTTCTGTGGCAGAATAACCACAGCTTTGGGTCTGGACCTGCACTGCGTCCTCAGGTACACGGAGCGTTTGCTTTGCCCCTGCTGCCGTGGAGCGATTATCTCACCCCTCTGCTTTATGTCTGGGGAAAATGCAGGTCCCTGCCCGCAGGAGTGAGACAGCAGGAGCCGTGGCATGCTCAGGAGAGTGGGACCGTCTCTGCGTCACTTCTTGCTGGAGAGGAAGAACAGCGCTGGATATAGCTCACACTCCGGCGAGGTATTGAATGCCCAGCGTGACTGTTTCTGGCCGGCAGCCTGGTCCCTGGCTCAGGCTGCAGTGGTGTGGAACCCCGGGGGAGCTCACTGCCCAGCAGCTAGCCATGGCAGCGATGGCAGATAGGGCACGTCAGGAAAAGCCACACTGGTACAATCTCCTCTGTACCCACTTATTTCCAGGTAGCCTGTTTAAAGGGAACATTTCATAAGCAAGAGAATATTCGTCATACGGAAGAAAGCTCATTGTTTGTGGGGTTGCCTCGTCGGATGGTCTCTTCTACTAAAGACTCTTGGGTTGCAAAGTACTTGGGAAATATCAGCATCCCTCTTGGAGATACAAACATGCAGAGCAAGGAAATCATGTGCGTCAGGGAGTCAGTGGTGGAAGGTTGTGGCCACTAAGTCTTCTACATTTGCACTCAACTATCCTGTCTCGCTGCCAGGCAAATTGCAACTGGAGAAACACACCATTTGGTTTGGTGAGCAGAACAGGCTGAAACAGATTTGGGGGCTGCGCGGCTCCAAGGCTGGGTTGCTCTCCAACCTGATGGGCAGCTGCCCATGGCAGCATCACCCAGGCTGGGGATGGGATGGGATGGGAGGGATGTCAAAAGAAGAAAGTATTTGTCATTTCCCTTCCTGAAAGGGCTGGAGCAGACAAGGCCTTTCCTCAGAAATGGGAACTTCTAGGCTTAAAGCACCTTCTTCCCACTCACCCCCATCACACTTGCTGATGCTGTTAAATTCTCTGAACTGTGGTGAGCAGCAGCCCCACCGCAAAAGAACAGCACTGGAGCTGTTAATATTTCACCTCCAGCTATCTTTTACTTCCCAAGCCATGAATCTTTCTACTCCCACCAAAATCAGCTCAGGCACTGGGTCTTGCTGACCGTAATATCCATGAGCTTGTGCAGAAAGAGCAAAGCAGGGGGCTGGGGGAGAGGAGTGGGGCTCCCCTAGACCCAGGGAAGCACCGACTTCTGCTCGCCCTTGGCTCCCTGCCCGGCACCACGGGGGAGCGCAGAGTCCACCCGGTGCCCTCTGAAACACAGGGCTCCTCAGCAAGTTATTTGCAAAGCTCCCTAGCGAGGGCTGAAGCTGTATAAAAATCCAAAGACCTCAACACAAAATATCGTTGGGGCACTTTTCAAATTCTGTTGCAGCCCTCTGGGAACGGCAGAGGTGAGCAGGTAAGTGGGGAGTTACCACTGCAGCCGAGCCTGGGGAGGGGGGCCTGACCTGGTATCCACCCCACCATCCCAGCACGCCAGAGCACAGACCCTGTCCCCTCCCATCCCAGCTCTGCATCTCACATCTTGGCTGCTTTCACATGCCCTCCTCGTCCCTGTTCAAATGTATTTTATTTGCCGTGGTGACAATCGTTTTCTTGGCTTATTGCTTCAGAGATGCCCTCCTCATGTCCCCATGCTGGCTTTTCTTGGTGCATTGAGCATCGTTTCTCTCTGGTTTGCAGTCCCTTCGCTGTCTGGTTACCTTTTCCCCGCATTGTTGATTTATTAAATTCTGCCTCTGCCGCTTTTCATCATCCTTGTGATAAATTCCCCATCGAGCACACCTGACTTTCTCCCACTGTGCTTATCCGACTGGAAGGATGATTTTGCTCTGAATGTTTCCTACTGCCCTTCCCACCACCCCAGCCATGATGCACGTGGACATTAGATATCAGTCAGGCGAATGGTACCTTGGTGTCTCCGTACATCAGGCTGACCTGTGTGCTGTGCTCTCCTCTTGCCTGTACCCAGTTGCTGCCTGGTTTTGCCATGAACTTTAGGTGCAGAATCCAGCATTTTGTTTAGGATCTAGAGCAACTCCCTTCACCAAGGGCTCCAGCAGGACAAAGGAGTAAATACTTTTGTTACTCCTTAGAGCAGTGTGGAATAAAAAAAGTTTTTTCTTCTAGGAAAAAGGGATATTTTGTGGCCTGTGGAGAACAAGGAGGTCCTTCCGATGGAGGACAAGAGAGGCTATGGAAGGCAGAAGCCTGAGGTCTGGGGTCATTGGCCTGGCTGTTAAAGCTTGGCTGAGCTCATTTGACCCCATGATTTATTCCAACTGAAAATGAGGTTTAAGGCATTGCCAGCTCCCCAGTGAGTGTACACACGGTTCTTTTATTCATCTGTTTTCTCAATTCTTGTTGAAACTTGTAAATGAAACATCCTCCTCTGCCAGCTCTCATCTGTTTGATCTTTCATAAAAAGTGTGTGAAGCTTTTTCCAGAAACCACTGCAACAGCGTTACTGCTTTAAGGTTGGTTGGCAACAACCCATGAAGCAATACTAAAGGGCACACCTTCCACTGGGAAAAACATACCTGGGAAGGCCACGTCCCCTTCGCAAGTGGCCCCATTGCCATTAGTAAAAGCTTCAAACTCACTTTCTTTCTCTCTCTTTGCAGGCAAAAATGTCAAGGCCAGTGCAAGCTCGGAGGCTGGAGGGAATAGATAAGAATATCTGGTGAGTTGAGAGAATATCTAGTTTACCTTGGTGGTAGATGTGGTTTTAGGCAGCCTAACACCAGCTGGAAACTGCTGCAGCCACACAGCACAGAGCAGCGGTCTCCCTCAGCTGCTTTGCCTTTGTTCAGGAAGCGCATCAGGGCAAGTTTGTCCAAGGAGACTTTACCCTGGCTCCCTTCTGTACCTGCTGCTCACACTTTATGCTCTATCAGGCGTCCTGCACCACCCTGCAGGAAGGCAGGCAGGAGCACCTTGTAGCGCATTGCACTCCATCCAACCCGTCTGCCCGAATGATCCCAGCAGCACCCAAATCTGAGCCAAGTGGTTGCAGCGCACTGGCTGCAGCCTGGCATCTGCTTCAAGCCCACCCTTGGGCACTGCAAGCAGAGAGGCAGGCAAAAGGATGCTGCAAATGCCGTTCCCAGCCTGCCAGGCACAGTGTGGCATTGGGAAAACTGAATGCTTGAAGAAGATATTTAAATGGGCTTTCCCCAAAGCCCTGCTGTGCCTAGTTTCAAGCTACAAACTGCCAATGAACCTACTCTTGGGTGAGACAAGCGCTGAGTTCAGCCTGCCTTTCCCTCTGCAGAGGCCTTCACGGTGTCTAGCTGCTAAATTTTGCAGAACTGCTATGAGCTTGAAAACCTCTGAGACATCATCTGCTCGCTCTGGTCTAATCAGAAGTGGCACACAGCTTCAGCTGTGACCGCACACACAGAGAGCACAACGGCTGTTTCCTCTGAGAACAAATTAAAACCACTCCCCAGTGCCATCGTGGCTCATCCTTGTTTTAATTGAAATGGGCCTGAAATGATCTGTGCTTGGTCCTGTCCACCTGTGAGCAGCGGGATGGCTCCGCAGGAGGGACACCAACCTCGCTCACTTCCAAAGGGATGCTGGCAAGTGGAGCTGGTGCCAGCACGCTGCCCGGACCCTCTGTAAATGCTTGTCTTTCTCTCCCTTTCTTCTCACCAGGGTGGAGTTTGTAAAACTGGCTGCCACCTACTCCACAGTGAACCTGGGCCAGGGCTTCCCCGACTTCCCCCCACCGGATTTTCTGAAGGAAGCGTTTGTGAGAGCCCTCAGCGGGGAGAATCACATGCTGCACCAGTACACCCGTGCCTTCGTGCGTGGACAGATCCCCCTCCTCAGCAATACCCCCCTCGCTCCCCATTAGTGTTGGCTGCTTCAGGGCTCATCAGGCAGCTATAAACAGGGCAAACCACATGAGGCAAAACATGCATCCAGCCTCAGCACAGGCCCCCCCATGCCCAGGGCTGTAACACCCTGCTTTACCAGGGCGTTTGAAACAGCCGGGCTGGAAAACATCCCGCACACTCGGTCACAGGGCACTTGGCTGCCCAGGCCCCTTCCAAGGGCTCATCCATGTTTTAGGAGGATTCTGCAACCCAAATCCCACCCCTCCTCTCACCCCACAGGGCCACCCACCTCTGGTGAAGATCCTAGCCCAGTTTTTTGGGAAGTTGCTTGGACAAGACCTGGATCCTATGACCAATGTGATGGTGACTGTGGGGGCGTACCAGGCCCTTTTCTGCTGCTTCCAGGCTTTTGTTGATGATGGCAATGAGGTAACCCAAGATCTGGGCTTGTTGCACAGGCAGCCTTCTCCCAGGAGAGCCCTTCCTGGCTGTGGGTCTGCCAGGGGTAGGTTTACATAGTCCTTTTGCAAAGTAGAAAAGGTTTTATCCCCATTCTCCAATATTTGAGCTTCCAAAGGAAAAAACTCCCTGCTGCAGGGTACTGTCTCATATCTGCATAAGCCAAAATAATAACACTGCCCACCGGCAATGCAGGTTCTCCATTACAATAACTCAGGGATTAAAATTTCCTGTCCCTCCCATTGCTCTCTGCACCCATCAGGGAAGGTCTGAGCAGGGCCAGGAGGGCACTGACATGTCCCTTTCTTCCAGGTGATAATCATTGAGCCCTTCTTCGACTGCTATGAGCCAATGGTGAAGATGGCTGGTGGGATGCCTGTGTTTGTCCCACTGAGACCGGTGAGTGGGTTGGAGCAAAGCTGTCGAGGAGGGAAGAGTCGTAGCAAAGTGAGCGAAGAGGTGAGTGTTAAGCAAAGTGCAGAGGTAGCAAAGCAAGCTGAGATTCCTCTCTGTTCTCTCTAGAAAGCTCCAAAAGATGGAAAATTGATGTCTAGTGCAGACTGGCAGCTGGACCCAGCTGAACTGGCTTCTAAATTCAGTGAACGGACAAAAGCCATCGTCCTGAACTCACCCAACAACCCTCTGGGCAAGGTAATGCCTCTGGCCTTGCTGTGGCTGGCCCTGAAAGCAGCTGGGGTGCTACAGCTCACCCAGCCACATTTGCAGTGTAGCAGTGACTTGACCTTCCTTGCACAGAAGGGAGGTGGGTGTTGGGGCAGCACCGCACGCTGTGCTCACTCTTCTGGTGTTTTTAAGCCTGGTCTTTTGTGCCAGCTGTGGCTTTGCCCTGTCAGACCATTGCAGCCAGCTCCTGCCCACCCTGGCTTGGGAGATGGTGCGGGTGGGGGTGCAGCCTTTGCAGAGAGGCAGGGACAGGCAGGGGCTCAGAAATGCTCCTGCTGCATCTCTGCTCCACTCCCTGCCCGCTGCAGGTATTCAGCCGAGGGGAGCTGGAGGTCATTGCAGACCTGTGTGTGAAGCATGACGTCCTGTGCATCAGCGATGAAGTGTACGAGTGGCTGGTCTACGACGGGAAGGAGCACATCCGCATCGGTATGGAGAATGGCTTGGCTGAGCTTGGGTGTCTTCTCTGGGTACAGCATCTTCAGGGAAGGAACTGGTGATTTAACTGGGGTCCCCTCGAAATTACATGGGCTGCTTGCATGCATAGCTCTACCAGGCACGTATTCCCATTAGAGGTATTTTGCTGCACTTCAGTCTCAGCCTCCAAACCAGGTCTTAAACTGGAGCCCTGACTTCCAGAGCCAGTCAGAGGAAACAGACAGTTGGCTTCACAGTGCGAGATCCAGAACAAAGAGCCCTTTGGCTCCAGAGAAACTGTGTTTTTTTCCTACACTTTGTAAAAACCACAGTTTTCTGGTGTCTCTAGTTTTGGGACATCCATTTCAACATGATTTCAGAGGCCTGTTCTTCCTGTTGCAGTAACCTGCAATCACCTTGTTGCAGGGTGATGATGCTTGGCACCTCTGGGAACCCCTGGGGCTGGGTACATGCATATGAAAACACTTAATTACAAAGAGATGCTCTTGAGAAACCTGGCTGCCTGCTTGGGATGTGCTTTGAGGCTCATCCAGGTGAAAGACGTGCTGTGAACAGCAGAGGCCGTCGTGGGTTATGGTGGGCAAAGAGCTCCCACCATGTTATTAATGCAGCCCAGAAGCGAGCACGCCGAGCTCTGCCATCGGTGTTTCTCTCTTGTTTCATCGCCAGCCAGCTTGCAAGGGATGTGGGACCGCACGGTGATCATCGGGAGTGCTGGGAAAACCTTCAGTGCCACTGGATGGAAGGTGAATTCCCCTGCGTGGCATCTCGTGTTCTCCCCATCCCCGTCCCTTTGCTCCAGGGCATGGGTCCCATTGCCATAGCGTGGCGCTGGGGACCCTGCTGCCGCACACTTGGCTTTGAACCTCGGGGTCTGAAAGTACCAAAGCTGCTTTACAATAGCTCTGTCTGGAAAATACAATGAAGCCAGCACAGGCAAATAAAGGGGAGCCCAAGCAGGCACCCAGAAACTTACCACCTTCCTCCTCCTCTCCTCACCACAGGTGGGCTGGACTGTGGGACCCAACCGGCTGCTGCAGCACCTCTGTACTGTGCACCAAAACTCAGTGTACCACTGTGCCACGGTTGCCCAGGTAAGGCGGCTCTCTGCAACTGGCCCTCCAATTCCCAAACCCCTGAAGCAGGGGTGAGAGAGGGTCCTTCTGCCCACGGCTAACCTGAAAGGCACAGACAGGGTGATGTGTGGTGCCCTGGAGAGGCTCCTTCCCCTCTCCCTGCAGTTGCCCCGTGCCTGGGAGGAAAGGGAGAGTCCAGCCTGCCTGGGGTATATTCCTTATTTTGCATTGACAAATCCAAGGGGCCATTTGGAGAGGCTGGAGGCAGAGAGCTTGGCTTGGTGCAATGACAAATCACCCCCTGCTCCCTAATCACCTGTGAATTGCATCAGAGCAAAGACTCCAGTTCTTCCCACCGGGTTCCTCTCTCCTCTCAGGAGGCCGTGGCTCAGGGTTTCCAGAGAGAGCTCAAGCTCTATGGGAAACCAGAAAGCTACTTTGTCCAGCTGCCCAAGGAGCTGCAGCAGAAGAGAGACTGGCTGATCCAGAGCCTGGATGCTGTGGGGATGAAACCCATCATCCCTGAGGGCACCTACTTCTTGGTGGCAGACATCTCCGAGTTCAGTGAGTCGTGCAGCTGCGGTTTTGCTCAGGCAAAAACCTGAGCATGGGGGGGCCAGCTCAGAGTGGTACCACTAGCAGGGACAGGGACCTGCATAAACCACCACCAAAGCAGGGACGGACGATAGCGTGTTTCCCATCCAAGCTCCCAGAGGCCGTGGGTTTGGAGCTTGGCTGAGGCACGCGGCAGCAGCCCCCACCTCCACGCTGCTGTGCTTCTCCTGCAGAATCCGACGTCCCTGATGTCCCTGACTCCGATGAGCCCTACGACTCCAGATTTGCAAAGTGGATGGTCAAGAACAAGGTAAATGCATCTGGCCCTTTCCGCCGCGCTAGCCCCAGGTGGGTTTGTGCCCTCCCTGCTGGCTGCGCTCACGGGAGCCAGCAACACAACACCACTGCCGGGTCTGGCAGCTCATCTAGGGGGGTGCCTGGGGTGTCTGTCAGCAGCTGGCCTCAACTCTGGCAGCCTGAGCTCAGGCAGAGTGAGCAGACAGGGCACCAAGGGCATCTACAAGCCCATCCGTGAGCTTGCGAGCAATACGTGGATGGCTTCATGCCAGCCCAGGAGTAACCTCAGTTCCACGTGTTTCTCCTTCCCAGGGACTCGCCGCCATCCCACTCTCCGCTTTCTACTGCGGGGCCCACAAGAACAACTACAACCATTTCATCCGGTTCTGCTTCGCAAAGGTGACATACCTGGCAGCAAGAAGGAAGGCGAGGTTGGGAGTAATAATCAGGGCTGGTTTAATAAATCAGGTTAATAAATGCCAAGAAGAAATGCAGAGCGCCTTGGGCATTAGAGCCTGAGCATGGCATCGCAGCTGGTCCAACCCCCTCCTGCAGACATGCGAACTGAACCGGGGGCAGGAGGCGTGCCGGTGCCATCCTAAGCTTTGCCCCATCAGCATGCCACATTTCTTGGTCAGGGCAGGGAGTCTTCTGGGTGTACATTTAGCTGCCCAGTGGCTATGCCTGCGTCACACTGAACACGGGGCATTTGCAATGTTCCAGAATGAGAATGGGATTTTTATACGAATGACGGCTGCAATGAGGGGAAAGGGGATTTGGCTGCAAGCCACTGACCAAACCTGTGGTGTTTGTTTAGGAGGAAGCCACACTGAAGGCAGCAAATGACATACTGCAAAAATGGAAACGGGAGAAAACTAATCCCTGAGCGCACTGGAGAGAAAACCAGGCTCTCCTTTGTCCTCACCTGCCACAACCACTCCTCCTCTTCCTTTGCTTGGCTACAAACTTTGATCCGTCCTTATTTTTGTGCTTTCAACCACGTTTTCTGTCAGACAAATGGGTAAGAGGTTGGCCATGCTCAGGGTCTGGGAGACACTTTCTGTCACTGTGAAATGACTGCAGTTTCTTGCAAGAAGTGAGTCTTTGCATGTGCTGTCAGTATTCGACATTTCTTCCTCCTATGTTTAAAGACTCTGATAATCAGTTCTAGGATGCGTCCAGCAAGACACAAGGTAAGGATGGCTCCTGGGGTCTTTTCCACCACCAAATTCTGAAAAGGTGTTTCAGGACCTACTTTTAAGGCTATGCTGGGGGGTTACTGTGGCTTGTCTTGCTCCACATCCCCACTCATGTACCCCAGGGTGCAGGACAGCATTTCGACCAGCACCCACGGGACTGTGCAGTATCGCCACCCATCAGTAGGTTGATTCCTATGATCCTGAAAATTATAAACCCAGCAAAATGCTGTTTCCCATAATTAACAATTTTCCCGTTATTTTTTTCTGTGCATCTCTGGGGAAGCTGACCACAGAATCGGCAACTGGTTTCCCCAGGAAACAGGCTTTCATAAATAGCCTGGCTATTGCCAAACCTTCCCTGTGCACCCCCCAAACCACCCCTGGCACTTTGTCAGGGCTTGGCAGCATCGTCCAGGCTGCAAAGGAAAACCTTCAGCCTTTGACAAGCGCACGCAGTGGCCGGGGAGGAAGGGCACAGCAGCCTCGGGCTGCTCCTGCCACTGGTGGCCCCCGCACAGCTTCCCACCCGTCGGGCTGGTGGGTGGTGGGGTAACATGAGCAGCATTTTGAAAGGTAATTCTTGCATCATTCTCGATTTAAACCTGGATAAGAATGTAAAACAGCATCATCAATCTCGCAGGAGTTATGTGCAACAGACTGTGCGATAAGTATTTGTGGCAGTTAAATTATTAAAGTAGAATTACTGCAATTATTGAAGAGTAAATGTCTCTGTAACGATTACAGGGCTGACGCAGCTCTCCTGGAGAGCTGCCCTCACCCATGCAACATCTGCGTTGCGTTCCGCAGTGGTGGCTGCTTGTCCCACCCAGGGCCGCGGGTGGTGGCTCTGCAGGTTTTCTGTGTCAGGCTGCAGCTGGCAGTAGCGATACCCACAGAGCCAGAGCTGCACTGACCCGCGGGAGGGGGGCAAACACCCACCTCCTGCCTTCGCCCATGGGAGATGCGTCTGGTCTCACCTGCCTGCGCAGCCTGGGTGGGTGAGGGTGCTGCTGAAGGCCCTTTTGCACCCCCACACGTGCCAAATGCTGGGAGAGCTGCAATCACCGAAACAGATAAACAACCGTGAGATTAGATTATTAACGTAAAGATTAATTGCAACATCCCCACATGCGCGGGCTCTTGCTCTAGGCCATGACACACCCCGCAAGGGGCAGGGTGCATCCCCCCCATCCTCCAACACGCTCGCAGTGCTTGTGCAAAGACACCCAGACACGGGTGGGTGG